AAATCACGGAGTGAACCTTGTTCGTGTAGTTTACGGACGAAGAGTCTAAGTGACCAATTTCTGCCACCTCGACGTCGTGGCTTTGCTGTACCGCGAACGGTCTTGGAAAAAGCTGTGTTGGTTGACCTTCCGTGCCTGCTCCGCCAAGCAACATCTATCGCGTCGGTAACGCTAACGAGCACCTACGCTGCCGGGGATCCGGCCCGCATCTGGCCTCAGGCGACCAGTCAACCTCCATCACCGCCACCATTGTCTTGGCTATTACTAGTGCCAAGCCCTGTCCAGTGGCGTCCCCACCGGCCAGCCACCACAATAGCACGCCTTGATCGGAGCCACCGCCTTTGTGTGGGTTGCTACCGAGCTACGGAGGAGAAATACCACTGGCCACTGCGTCACCGAGTACCCCGCGAAGTCCTACTAGCTTCGCCGGCACCAAGAGATCGCCCTGGTCGTGGCCATTGGCTCGGCCCATGTAGTGGCCGCCATCACGTTCATCTCCACTTCACCCCAAAGTCTCACCTGCACTGTCATCGGCGCCCACCGCCCGCACTGTACCGGCGTCCTCTGGACCAGCGCCACCTCCGAACTATCACCATCGCCGCCCACCGCCCGCAATGTACCGTCAAATCTAATAAACAGGTATTTAACCGTTTACATAGTGTTGGTTAGGTTCTCCCGTGTCCGAAAAGTCTCCCACGCCTATACGCCCTGAGACCCGGAACCTACAAAGGTCTTGAGTGCCATCCCTGGAAGCTGCCGTTGGTCAAGACCAGCAGCTTGGGGTTTAGGGGGTTCCCTTCAGGAGCTCAGCGGTTCCGGGGCATTTAAAGCAGTCTTATAAGTTCATGATTTAAACTCGAATGATTCATGATCTCGGGAATCTTGGGTGCGTTAAGCAAACATAGCTCATGATATCATGAATATTGTTCATGGTGAATTTTCATAACATCAAAAAATGAAATCATGAGTCATTTTTCTCATTTCGGATGTTTGATTTATTCTCGTGCACGGTTTAGGATCAAGCAAAATGGCTTTAGATAAATACAATTCTGTGAGCAAGTTTTTTTCATTAAAGCCATTTTAAAACTTTATGAATTTGTTAGGGATTTTATTAACGCAAAACAACTTTTGCACAAATGGCCCATGAAAAACAACTTTTAAGTATTTAAGTATTTCCTTGGATATAACTTTATTTTGGTCAATAAAGCAATGAGCAGATATTCGAAATACGATAATCGTAAAAAATATCTCGGCTGAGCTTAATGATCAATCTGGAGAATTTTTTTTTCAATTAAAAATAATTAGTAAAATCGACGTTCTCCGAGGGCGGACTTATTTTTTTCGACGTTTTCAAGTACATTTCACATAAGAACAATTTTAATAATTTTTGAAATTGAATAGAATTTTGATATGATCAGTTTCAATTATTTTGATAAGATCGGTGGTATTTAAGAATCCTTTTCTATCTTGATTGATGATTTTTCTAATGGATTCAGCAAGCGGCTAAGGGAAATGGCTTGAAAAAGGTTTTTATTGTGGCCAAATAGCTTTTATTGTAGCTTAAATACGGGTTTCAAATGGTTCTCGATACGTTCGTCGTACAACCTTTTTGCAGTAAATCAATCTTGAAGAGCTTCGAAAATATACCCTTCAGAACCTTCTCCAGGATAAGCCAACTAGACAGATTCTAGTCTTAATGAGGTTTTGGTGGATGCATCAATGCAAAGTTGCGCTGACCAGGGTTTTATGAATGTTGTTTTATAGTAGCTTTGTATTACATAATACAACTTAAAATGTTACTTGGGAGGTCTTCTCTATCTGAACAACTTTACGGAAGACGGAAACCTTCTATCTAATCCATATGTTAAGTTAGGGTAAACAATGAAAAAAATATTATCACACTAGCACCGCCTGGTGAGTTAATTCTAAGCTGAACTCTTTACCATAAAATAGATCTTGTTCATCTGAACTACTTTGCTAAAGATGGGAACCTTCTATCTAGTCAAGATGTCAAGTTAGGGCGTGAGTGAAATCTGAACTATATTCTTTACCAAAAAATAGGTAATGTTCATCGGAACATTTTTTCCAAAGACGGGAACCTTCTATCTAGTCAAGGTGTTTAATTGGGACAAACAATTCAAAATGAATGTCACACTAGCGTCACCTGGTGAGTGAATTATGATCTAAACTTTGTTCCTTAAGATAGGTCCTGTCCACCAATTTCACGAAGACGGAAACCATCAATATGAGCAGGATTTGCAAATTGCGTTATATAATGTGTATTCAAGATGGCGCAACTAGATCATTTTTGTTTTAGCGTCATCTAGTGAGTAAATTCTGTCATACACTATCCATAGTTCAGAAGACCTTGTATTCTTGAATATCTTTGCACAAGGAAGCAACATTCAATATGGTTGGGATCCCCGAACAAAGGATTATACCAAATTGATAACAAGTTCTGATACCCGGTTATCAAGATTTGATAACTGAACGTGATAACGTTATCTTTGTGGTTGAATAAACACCCAACATAACAAAAATAATAACAAACGAATACTTCTGGGATATCAAAAAATTACTGATTAAGTTATCTCTGAAAACATCTTGATAACAAATACTGTGATCCATGCCAATTTTTTCAACAAAATTCCAAATTATTTTATCGATTTGGTATTAAAGCAATAACAGGCGCTGATAACTGAAATATGATTGGTAGTGTTTTTTTCTCACCATGTGGATAATATTTGATGTTTTGAACTAACCTTGCATCATTTCATGTTCATTCATGATATAAACTGATAGCAAAATTAGTCGAGGTAGATATATAACTAAATTAGTTATGCGATAACAACTGAAAACAGAATGATATCTGGAATAACAAGCCTTGTTTTCAAGATGATATCAGGTTGTTATTTGACTTTGCTCGGATCTCGTGATATAAATATCTTTATCATCAAAATATGCCACGTAATAGGTATAGTTTTACAATGACCCCTCCCCTCTAGTGATCCGCCCCTTAACAAAACAGACAATTTAAACGAATAGTAAGCTAAATTTACTTTGCAAATGCGTGTTGAAGGTGAACCAGCCCAAGGCTGAAAGCCTCCCTAATAAAGATAAATAATAATAATACTTTGCAAATCATTTGAAATTTACGATATCCATTGAAATTTCGTTTAGATATGGCAATTTGAATTTGGGGTCAAATTGACCCAAGAGTACAGGCAACGTAAGTATTTCAATAATTTGTTTCCAACACATATTTTTTCAAGTTTTTGGAACAGATTTCTGTTAGTATTACAGAACTTGCTCAACGCACTTAGTCACGAATGATTTAGTAAAATCCATCGACAAATAAAAAAGTTACAACCTTTCAAATGGGGTTGGGATCAAATTGATCTCAAGGTACAGGCAAAGGGTTAGGGAGATTTTCAGCCACACGCTGTTTCATCTCCGTCATATTTTATATTTAGCTCCTTCTTGAAAATGTCGAATAATCAAATGAAAAAATAATGGAATCAAAATCCGATATTTCAGAATAATACTTGAACGACCTGAATATTCACAGGACTTCAATTAGCTGGAGATCTATTGAATACTTAACTGTGGTAATGCAAAGAGAAAATCGATGAAGAGTTAGACCCTTATGATTCTGAAGGCTAGAATTTATTTTCAGGGAAAATAAACACGATAAAACTATTTCAAGTAATTTTGGGTGAAATATAAAAAAAATGCGTTTAAATGTTGATTTCTAAAACATGGTCCGCTTAAATATTTTTTAAATATTTTTTATTAAAAAGCTATTGTAAAATGCTAACTTCTGTGAAATTTTCAAGTTTGTCACTTAAAATTTGACAAAAGTCATAGAACAACAACTATGACAACAAGATACAAGATCCAGAAAAAATTGCAAGATCCCGGAATTTTGCCAAAAATTTCCAGGTTTTGAGGCTAAACAAAATACAAAACGCCAAAGACAGTTAGACTATATTTTAGATCTCGGCTAATTTTTTTTAAATATTTCAAACTTTGATAAAACTTTAGTGTTCTAGGAATGTTATATCACAGACAAACAGATATAACATATTGAATATTTCTCACTGTAAAACATCGTCGTTAAAACATTTCTGCCATCTGTTGAGTACACTGTGGTGGGAACTACGTTGAACAGATGGCGGTAGTGGGTAAACGTTAAATGCAAGGGAATTGACTATGCGCGCCACAGGTGGCGTTACTACCAACTACGATTCTTTTAAATTTACCGTTAAATGCTTGTTCGATGAACAACTTGCGAGTGTTATGTCTGTTTGTCTGTGGTTATATACAGGCTGGAAAATAATTTAATTGTTTTGCCATCTTTAGCTCACAATTAAACGTGGAAAGATTTTACACGATGGTTAAATTCAGATATTTTTATCTGCGTTGATTTCTTTTGTACAGCACCAAACAGTCATGTTAATTTCATTCGGTTCAGATTCCTATACTTGCATTTCTGATTTCTATGCGTCTTAATTCCAGATTTTTTTTCATTCATTTGTGTTTCAAATTCATTCATTTGTGCACTTACTTATACTTGCATTCCAGTGCCGACGGTACATGTCTTGTTACTAATCGTTTAGAACATATCAAATGGCAAACCCTTATTTTCGCCATATTCACGAATCATAAATTGAACAAATTTACAAACACACCATTCGATTGAAAACCCAGTCACGCTTGAACCATTAATCACTCACTCCAAAGATACGATAATCCAAACTCAAACAGTAAAACCACTATACAATGTAGTGTTGACCAAACCACAAACAAAAACAAAAACTAGTGCAGGCTTTGAAAAGTACAAGCATACCTACAGCATATATGATAGCCAAAACTCGGGTACCAAAATAAAAAAAAAAAAAAAATGCACGACAACCTATGCCCAAATCCAAATTCAATCGTGCGGTAGGTATAAAAGAGAGCGAAAGAGCAGGTGGTGAGGGAACATTTAGGGTAGCTACCTCTTGTTGCATTTAACGATCTTGGTGGCGCCTCGCTTCAGTGGAATCCGCTGCTGTTCGCCGCCGCGCCCAATCAGCTCCAATTTCTCAACCCGCTCGATGGACACCGCTTGCTCCTTCTCCCGTCGGACGTCCTGCGTTGGCCTAATGAGCAGGTTGTTGCTGAAAATTTTGCTACCTGGATTGTTGTTGTTGTTGTTGTTATCGTTGCCCCGCATGAAGTTTTCGTTCTCCAAAATATTGGCCCTGATTTCAAGCTTCTTTGCACCACCCTTGCGCTCGCTGCCGGTAGCGGTTTGGTGTTTGGACGTAGCTATCAGCTCAAACTGCTGATGCTGCCGCGGCGGCTGTTGCTGACCATTATTACCATTTGGCGGGGATACTTTCTTCAACGATCCCGAGTGATCGGATTTGCTTCGAGTGGCGAACGGGTGTGTGTGTGTTAGTCGACATGGATGGTAAATTAGGAGATGCAAAACGGGTTTAGCGATTTTCAAGGTTAGTCAATTTTCGGTTGTGAATATGGAAATTAGATTGGGAGTTAATGTTAGGACACAGACGCTCACAAATGGTTTGAGACAACTTGAATACATACTTATCACTGGAGATGGAGGAACTCATCGAGTTCAGATGACTTCGGTGCCTCGGTAGGGGGAGATCCAAATCTGCAAGACTGTTGGTGGAGCCACCACAGCTGAGACTGCCGGAGTACTTCTCGCGGTTTAAGGCACGTTTTGACCTGTTCCGAATGGATGGAATGCATCACAATTTAATTAGTTCTGCACATTGCAATTGTAAATACAATAAGAACACATTGAGCTACGGCGACTTACTTGATTTGAGGCGCTTTGTACTGGATCCGAGCTTGCAGCCTCTCTTTGGCAGCGGAAATCGAATTGTTGTTGTTGGCGTTCTTGGTGAGCAGGGCCTTCTCGCGGCACCATTCGACATGTCGGTCGAATGCTTTGAAGCCAAAGCAACGTTCACAGTACGGGCAGGGTTCGTTCTGTTGCGACAGACTTCGCTTCAGGATAGGTCGTGGAGTTGTGGTACATGAACTGCTTGCCATTGCTGCGTTCGGGCCGGTTCCGGTTGGCGTCGTCGTACTGGCCAGCGTCAGGGAACTGGACATAAGATGGTTGATTCCGTTGTCACCGTAATCTTTGCGCTGTGGAGTGGGGGTTTTGCTTGTGCTTAGCTTTCGTACGGGGTTTGTCTGGAAAGATGAGAGAGAGTTGTCAGTGGAAGAATTATAGATTTGGAAGTAATTCTTATTAGGCAGCACAGTTTAGGCTGCATGTGTTTTCAGGTGTCTGAAGCTGGCTTCTATTTGTGTAATAAACATAATCATTACTGTATTAAATGTCTGCTGAACAGACATTGTATCCCTTTGCTCAAATTTGATACAATGTTATGCTTTTAAAATCGTTTCCTATTCCGTATTTTTTTTTCCTTTGATTTGTTTTTCCGTCGATCTTGTTTTCCGTGCTGGCACAAATTCTACCGACACCAGGGAGGCAGCTCCCACACCTGGACCCTACCTATCGACCCATCAGCTCATAAACCGGGGACCAACAGCTTTACTTCGCGTGATCAGAGATGTTATGCCTCAGAACATCCCGGCGGCGCCGACTGGGATTGAACCCAGGCCTACTGGGGTGAGAGGTAATCACGCTTACCACTACACCACCGGTGCCGCTATATTCCGTATTGAATTACTGGAAATTTCATTTTGACGTAGGACTGTGATGCAAGATGATAGATTACACTATTAACTATATGCCAAGCTTATAAAATCACCCAGAAAATGAAAGCAGTGAAATAGGATTAATTTTTAGGTCATCAAAATTCGGAAGCGATTTTCTCGATATGGTCATTTTGGAGTTACGCCCGTTTCTAATGTTAGTCTAGATTTGATCGTTGTTTTGTTGTTTAAAAAAAACGAGAGAAAAATCCCCAGACTAATTTCCATACAAATTTCAAACGCAATGCGGAAAGTTGAGTTACAAAAAATCGTCCCCAAAATTTTGCAATTTGTTTGGGACCCCAAATGGAACCAAAAGGGCTGTTCTCGCTAAATGAGGTCAAGTTTGCGTTTTTCCATATAACGGTGACCCACCCTAATGAGCATGAGCATGAGTATGATTGACTACCCGTGGATGCAACTTTGTTATTGCCAGATCAGCTGTAATTACCCAGAGAACCAATAGACGTTGCTTGGGACTAGCAATCATCCTCAATGTGACTAGACAATACCAGCGCCGGCCACGTCCAAATGCTGGTCAAGAAAGGAATGGGTAGGAATATGAAAGCACTTCCACGAAAAATCACATCCCGTTGGATAAAAGGGTTGGGATTGCAGCAGGATTCGTTTTGGTAAACGATATGCTGAATTTATGTCTTAACGATTCAATAGCGCGATGGAGTAAGCAGTAAGCATAATCAGTCATCACTGGGCCACCGAGCTCCTTATATCACACAACAATTACGATCAAGTTTCCTTTCAACTAGCTGTTACTACGAAAACAAATCTTGAGAAGGATTTGTTATAGATTCTGATCAACACGTCTTTCCTAAAACTCGAATGTTATTTCTTTTACGTACTTGTACCCATAATATTCTGCTCAATAAGCAAAATTGGTCGCCACTAGGCCACCGACCTCCTTATATCACAAAAAATACGATCAAGTTCCCGTTCAATTTACTGTTTCTAGATTTCGGTCGTGGCAACGACCCCACAGACCACGACAACAACTGCTGTAGAGAAGGATTTGATATGGATTTCTGATGAACACGTCTTAAACAAACACACACACACACACACACCATTTTAAGTTTATATGGGAATTACTATGGGAAACGCCAACATTTTGTTCAAATCTTCATCTACAGCACATTTTGATATCTGTAGAAAATTTTCTCAGCTATAATTTTGCAAAAGACCACTTTTATATTAAATGTAAGGAAAGCTATTAATGGTTCAAGACGCTAATGTCTTATAATCATGCACAATCAAGTGCTCACTAACCAAATTCTATCATGAACTAGAACCTGTCACGATGTACAGTACCGGAAGTCGCAATATATTTTTCTCTCCACATAAGTGCAATGAGCTTTTACTTTTACGGATATACATGAAATTTACTGTAATCTTGACTGCTGGTTGATCAAGTATCAGCAGTATAGACAGAGTTTGTATGAAGTTTGAGCAATTGCACAAACAAATGCACAACAGTTTGAAATGAGGTGATATAGTGTTAATTCCCGAATGTCGGCCTAAGTATCCCTAATATTGGGCCCATACCAAATATTATGAAATAACAATCTGGTTTACTTCCCGAATTGCCATATGTTTCTGAAAAGACGCAACAGTAATACCAACCGGTGGAAACTAACGATTTTAAATTGGCTCACTACTTGACTAGCCTATTGGTCCCAAGTTCCAATTGTGAACAATTGAGTGAAAATGAGCAATAATTTCTGATTAAAGATCCGAATTTAGCTCGTGCGCTCTTTTGTCAGTCGTACTTCAGAGTCTATGGAACATGGCAACATTTCCAATACTAACCTATCGGGGCCAGTTTTACTTGAATGCTTGAAGATCGTCTTGGAATTGAATTAGATGGGTTTGCTAGCCTTCTAAGATCAATTTCCCTTGAAATTCCAAGAACATTTTGATTTCTTCTTTCAATTCAAAAGCACGGTTGAGAACATTGCCTTTGGACAATCAGTGCACAACAGTGTAGAAAAGAAAAGCCACATGATCTGAATTAATTAGCTTGTAGAGTTCATTGAATAAACGAGTGTTCAGATCTCCAGATTTGACATAGTTTACATTTTGACGACCAAGTACTTTTAACATTAGTTCCGGCAGAGGCTTGTTATTGCTGACAATAGCATATCGAACACCTTTGGCGTATGGAGCAAGCTCTATAATCTCTTTCTGAAATCTTGATTTGTTACTAAGCATTGCTTAGAGCGCCATCGGTATTAACTACACTTACTTTTTCCGATTCAAAAAATGTTTTGATTTTAGCCATGATATTGTCACTTTTGGCAAATTTTGTTTAGACCAAACAAACCAAGAACCTCAGGGGCCCCCTGAAAAGACTTCGCGGCCCCCCTGTCGGCCGCGGACCACGGTTTGGGAAACCTTGAGCTATAGTCTGAATCTGGGACGGAGAAGCAGACTCGAAAAATATGAACGTCAAAAAGAGTCAAAATCAAACTGTCACGAACTGTCAGTGGGAGCCAAGCAGTTTGATGATGCTTTTCTTAAAGTTCAACAAGAATACACAAGGCGGTTTTGTAATCTTGCGTAAAGTAATTTATGGCTAACTGTCGTTTCCAGCTATCTTGTTCGATAGGACTCCGTTTTTTTTTAAATCCATTCATTGAATATACTCAAATCAATATTGAAAGATACCATCTACCATGGTTTTCGTTTAAATATTTAGAGACACATTAAAATAGAAAACAGAAAAGTAAATTTTCTCAAGCAAACTGAACAATCTCAAACAATCACTACACGCTCAAAGCAAAACAGGCTATTTTACCTATTTTGATTTAAATTCAATGGCACAAATTTTCATGACAAGAAGAACAACCTATAAAATTAATTCCGTGTGTGCTATCTGCTTCTCCCTCCCAGGTCTGAATGTACTATTAGCTTTAAGGTGAACGAAACCATTAAAAGAAAAGGCAGATTATATCTGCCATCCCTCTTTACATACCACATTGGCAACTGACAGGAATAAAACTTTCAACATACTAATGGTGGTAAGCTTACACCGGTATTATCGTCGAACTAAATCCTGATCACAAATGTCAGGCTGTTGTGGTGTCGATCCTTGACAAACATTTGACAGATCCTTCAATCTGGGCCGGTATTAAAAGTTGATCCGAGTTGGAGCTTACCGCCATAATAATCGTTAACCCTAATTTGGGAAATCCATTTACATACAGGGTAAGTTTTTTACCTTTTAGTTTAATAAAACTCAACGGTTGGTTCTATCAGAAAAGGGCCATCAGCTCAAATTTACTCATCTATTAGTCTATAAGTACTATAAAGTTCATTTTCTATTAGTCATTGTTAAGCTCTAAACGTAATATTTTTTATTATAGATCAATATAGTACTTTCCGTATTGGGTTGAAAGTTGATTTTTTGTAAATTGTGTTGCATAAAAGAACTAACGAAGAATATATCGAAATATTTTTCGATATATTTCTTTTAAATAAACACGCTGCGATTCAAAGTACAGAAGAATTCAATTTTCAGTTAAAAGTACTCAACCCGTCATGTTTTCACCGTTGGGTACTTTGTATCAACCGCTGCCGTTGATGCTGTCATTTTTGTGCACTTCATCGCCTTCGTTCGTGATCCGTTATTGCATTCGATTGATCGTTAGGTGATTTTCATTCAATGGATTTTATGTTGAGTGAAAGTGAACTCCATTTTGGGTATTTTTTTTTTACTGTGCAGATTTTAGTTCACCATAATCAACCGGTGGAAATTAACTATTTTAAATTGGCTCACTACTTGACTAGCCTATTGGTCCCAAACAAATCGATTAACGTACCCCATTCTAGTCGAAATTCTAGTACTACACTATGTTTGTTTTGGTTTGCTATGAAAGTTTGACAGATAAAATGAGGGGTTCGTGGATTTTCCTATGTTTCGAGGGGTGCATCGATTAGCTTGGGACCGAAGAGAGTACTAGAGCTGAGCCAAAAAGTTGAGCACGTTTTTTCGGGACCTGCTGGTCTTAGAGTTACCTCTATGCCATAATGTTCCCCAGCAACAATCCAAACGTAAACGATGCATTTAAACGTCGGTTGTTCACGAATTACAACATGCCTACTCAAACTCGGTTTGACGGATGCGGCTTGTTTTTCACTCTGCTTTGGCTTCTTCTGCTTCGTATGCGTCTTTAGACCCATTCTTGCCTTGGCCCGCTGGACGTTACTCTTCGAGGATCCTACTTTTTTAGCCACGTCTCGAACCGAAGCACTTTTATTGCGAGTGAAAGCTTGCACTGAAATATGGACCGGAAAATCGTGCCTGGTATAAAGCCAACAAGGTTCAACTCGTACCCAAGGAGATGAATCCACCAAACTGTCCCTAGACCAGGCCAATCGAAACTTTTTGGGCCCTGACCAAAGCATATTTGCGGAAACATATAAAGGCAGCGGATTGCGTTACAAAGTTTGCGAAAGACTGGGAAAAAGTATCCAAAATTGTTGGAAAGGCATCTGTGCTGAAGCTAATGAGTAACGTTAGATCAAAAATCCGCTCCTTGGCTTACGAGTGATCGGATCTTGGATTTTCTACGTTTAACTGTTAGAGAATACTATAGAGAATATGAAAACGAAATAAAAAAAATCAAATTCAATCAGAGTTACGTTATCATTTTTTTTAAATCGTGCTTAGACATTTTGGGACACCATATAAATAGGAGAATTAATGTCATTCCCAAAGCGGCGCCGGTGTTGTAGTGGTAAGCGCGATTACCTCTCACCCCAGCAGGCCATGGTTCAATCCCAGGCATAACATCTCTGATCACGCCGGGAAGTAAAGCCGTTGGTCCCCGGTTCATGAGTTGATGGGTCGATAGGTAGGGTCCAGGTGTGGGAGCTGCCTCCCTGGTGTCGGTAGCATTGGTGCTCAGCATGGAAAACAAGATCGACGGAAAACAGATTAAAAAGAACCATATCCTTCGGTGACGAAGAGGAACAATTTCTTCTGCAGCGGGTCTCGGTTTTTCATATCTATCAAAATGAATAAAGTTTACCCAGATAGAAAACGTCAACACCTGAGTAAATTTTACCCAGTTTCCTTCAAAAGTATGTTCAATGAACATTGTTCATCCAGCTGTGGGTAAATGCCCTACCAATTTTTGGGTAGGTTCAGTTCTGACCGAACTGGATATACTATAACAAATTTTGAGTAGTTTACAAATAGTAATTTTAATTTTTTTTGAGTAGTTTACAAAACCGGTAATTTTTCACTGTACTGAACCATATTGTTAATTTATAATGTTTGATAAAATTTTACTCAACTGTGAGTTGTTTTTGATATCCTTGTTGATATTGAGCTGTCAACTGCTAAGTGCTCAATTTACAGTGTACTAGTCACCTTTCGTATCACTAGTGCCGCTAGTGTCGGGAAAAATCGTGTCTTGGGGATAATAGAAGAGAGAACCATATTGTTAATTTATAATATTGCGGATTTCACACCTGATTAGACTCCTGCGCTAAAAATAAGTACACGGTAATCTTTTCGCACTGGTCATTAAAGTTAAATATGGAGCTTCTTAATGCTTTCTAGAGCTTTAATTCAACAGTGTAGCTTGCTAGTAATGTTCTTAAGCTGTTACTGCTTTCAAATTAGTCGATCTTTAAATTTTCTGACCTGTGCGAAAATATTACTGTGCAATTATTTTTTGCACAGGAGTCTAATTTAAAAGGAAATAATTTTTTGACAATATTTCACTAGCATCCTCTTCTTCTTCTTCTTCTTCTTCTTCTTCTTCTTCTTCTTCTTCTTGTTCGCATTTCAAGCTTATTGCTTAGCGCATAATAGCTTATTGCGTGCTCTCAACTTAGTGTTCTTCCACAGTTATTAATTGAGAGCTTTCGATGCCAATACCAATGCATGAATTTGTGTATTGTGTGGCAAGCACAATGATACTCTATACCCAGGGAAGTCGAAAAAATTTCCAACCCGAAAGATTCCCTCGACCGGACTGGGAATCGAACCCGCCGCCTCCGGCTTGGTAATACCGTGCCTTTACTGACTAAATAGGCTATGAGGCCCCTCACTAGCATCCAGTAATATTTATTTGTATTGTCCAGATGACGCATTGTGCTACGAAAAAATGAAGAACAGGAGCTTTTATCGAAGGGCTCAACCTTTAGGTCCATAGGCCAATATTAGAGCAATTTCTCCTACTTTTGTCCACAGAAAAAAGGCAGAATGGACAAAAGCCCGAGGGGCACGCACTAGTCTTTCAATGCTACGCAGCTTGCTGACCATGTATTTAAAAACTTTCCATTACTGCATTCATTACTTTAAATACACTCTTAATCTCATTAAATACTTGAACTACCGCCAAAATTTTATACATATTTTAATTATTTTCAATACATAGGAGCACCATAATGTTGGCCTATGGATTTTAGATTAGGCCCATGGCCAAAAATTTGCTATTTATCAATTTTATCCAGATGAACGCGTCATTGGGACGGTACTGATGGATATTTTGGTCGCTATTGAAAATTCAGTCGATTGCTGAATTTATGTATGGGTCCAAATTAGGGGCATTTAGTCCGACATTACATTCATTTCGCCCATTATTCTTAAGTCTATAATTCTATAACTCGATGGTCCCTTAAATATTGAGGTATAGAGAGTTGACTGTAATTAAATAATTTCCAATATTCTGGAGCTTAAACAATATTTGATGTTTTGGACATGGAAAATAACCTATGCAGGGTTTGTATGTTTTCAAGATGGAACTGTGGAAACCATTGAAATTCCAGACTAACATGTTTTTGCAAGATTCCGGGTCAGAAAAATCTTCTAAATAGATTCTGGGAGAGCATCAACATGAGATATCGAAAATTTCAGTGAACCATAACCGATAATTTTATTAAAATAAAATGTATTACTTCCTTCGGAGACAGTCGTTTTTTACAATGATCGAGAATTTGGTCATCGTTATCGCTTTCTGTATCATAACTTAAACGATTATCCTGTAAAATCGTGTTTCCATCAAACATATTTTAAAACTTCTACTAATTGATCATTAAACACTTTGTATGTTTTCCACATTGTGTAATGAAGGCTTTTAGACGTTCATTAGTAAGCTTAAATCATCAGCGTACCAGTCATTATAGTAAGACAAAACAGTACGGTTACAAGACAACCGGACGCAGGGCTAAGCGATCATCGATTTGCATCAAAATATGGAGAGTCAACTTCTCGGTAACGTATGTGGTTGTTCGTTGTGCTCTCAGCTACAAATTGAAGCCGTGTGCATGTTGGATTTGATATCGAACAACAACAATCAAACAGTGACACATACATGCGGTGGAGTTTGATTTCCCTTTCAACTTGAACTTTTGGAGTGCGTAGGATCTCTTCGTAAGTACCTAACAAACATCAGAGATTAGATTTACAGCAAATGTCAAACGATTGCTGTTTTGTATTCGGTTCGGGTCCACGCAGAACACATTTACCTTAATGCACGTAAAGCAATTGCAGCTATAAATCATTCCGAAGGGGATCATCGGCAGCCAGCAACTTACCGTTTTTGGTGGTGAAACTCGGGCCTGCGGGTGATTCTGGGGCAGACCGAAGTTCTTTGGCAGGTACGAGGCCAGTTCGGTTCCCTCGCGGCGTTGGCGGGACGAATCGAATGGTTTGCGCTTTTTGCTTTGCATCTTCTCACAGATGCCGATGTGCTTGGCCAACGACGTTGGCACGAAGTTGCGCGTACAGATTGGACATTGTTGCAGCTCGAGATTCTCCGGTGGTTCGGGAATGATGAGGAACGGGTCGACGACCGGCTGCTGGATGTACTGCTCGCTGTAGACCACGTCGTCCTTCTCCTGGTCGGCGTAGTTTTGCTTTTCGTTCAGATTGTTGTCTGCAAAGAAGAATGAAGAGCAAATTAGTTAAATCTCAGACATCATGATTGTAAGAGTTTTAATATTTCGAAACACAACCCAACCGATGCGCTGGTGAAACAGTGTGAACCTAAAAATAGGCCTTATCTATCTCTGCACATTGTTCGCATCCCAGCGATTGTTTTGCGATACCTCCCTTATCGTTCGAGCTCGCAATTTGAATACCACAAAGTTGCATCAACCACTCGTGATTGCATCTCAATTCTCACGCTCAAGAAACTGCTGCTACATTTTGTAGCGAGCATGAGTGCACCACCAAGCGCCGTCATGCACCCATAAATATCGATAATATTTCATTTCACGATTTAAGCACGACCTAGGCAATTGGTCCGAAGCATTACGATAGTGATTGTGCGCTAAGCTCTAAGCTTTTAATGCCACCCAATGAGCCGACATGGGGACACCAAATGGAGGAGAAGAGCTCCAACCATCTGTTTATCTATTTATTATGCATGGAAAACGTTTGGCTCTTTTTGTGTCTGCGCCCTCCGCTGTAAAAAAGTGTGAGAAAAAGCATAAAGTTTATAAGTAAATTTGGTCTCGCGCACACTTTAAACGCTATTAAGCGGCAAATAATGGGCTGAAAACGTGGCTAGTGGTAACATAGTCTATGGAGGCATAAAATTATTCAAACAAGATAATTCACTTCACTTCGAGGTAATTTATGGCTAGGTTTGGTATGAAATCGTACCTTCATCGGTGCATTAGTATTTATTTCACCAAAGTGCGATATAAATAGCGATATAAAGCGTATCAGCCAAAGACACTCAAAAACTGCATGTCTTCATTAACCGGTTTATAACTCGTGGCGTCACAATTAGATCTCGAGCGCCGAGCTCCACCGTCATTGTCATTAGAAAAGCCGATATCACCAGAAATCCAACCCCAATAAAATTTCCGATTAAAATTGGCTTTAAAATTATACTAAGTCCGATTATCGGTGAAATATTCGTTCTGTGTGACAGTTTGTTTTAGTTGGCAACTCATTTGTTCATTTCACTTGTACGTTTGACAGCGAAGATTTTCAAAACAACCGCAATTCATCTACACTGGGTAGAAACGATAGTTAGTGCGTGTGAGGGTAAATGAGAAAAAAAAAAGACACTGATCCCCATAATTCAACCTCATCAAATTAGCTGAGCTAAAGACTGAACTAGACTTACTTCAGCTTAAAATTTCTCCAAAAATCAGCAAAGGGCTACACATATTGTGATAGCCTGATAGTAAATTTGGAATCTCAGTGTCAGTGTCACGCGTAGCATTTTTGGCGTTTTATTTTTCTAAATTCACTGCCTACTTTTCTAATCCCAAGCGCTAGCAAAAGAGACAAGGAAGAGGAGATTTTTAGGAATAGCTACAGGTCAAGGGGTAGTCACTCTACACACTTGTTTTGCGCCAACTACCGGCAGTGTCAAGAAGTCATTGAACTGACTTTTGATTGCTTGTAAATAATGCCTTGTTTGGCAACCCGGTATTTTAACAGCTTTTATTTTTGTTTTGTTTTTCAATGTTTTCAAAAACGACACGGACTCCAGTTGGGACTACACACTGGATGCATCCGTCTCCAAGGATGCCTGCAACGGACGAACTCCGTTGCTACACGATCCTTCCATCTTTGGCGGAAGGCCGACCCCGCACAACGAACGTCAATCATTAGTCAACCAACCCTTCTGGGAGCCGGCGGAGGAAATGGAATTGCACCGAATTTTTCACCGCCCGAGTATCATCCGTCGGAAAACTGGAAACCAACACCGGCCAGAACACACGTCGGACTGATAAAGGACGCACCGCTGACCCGAAACGGACCAGCCAATTTTCCAAGCTGAACTACTTGTCAGAAACCACCAACCCTTACACCCTGCAGGACAATTCGATCAGCTTCAAGGTCTACAGCGCCTCCAAGAACAATCGCTTCCCAGGTCAGCAAAACTCGCATTCTCCACTTCTTCAATAACCCACCCGTATGCCGTCCGAGGATCTGCTGCTAACTGCATTCACCACCAAGGGCTGCCACCCGTCGCAAGTGCGAATGTTCCCGCTGAAATCGGGATGTTCCTCCTCCGGATTGGTCGAGTTCCCGAGCGTAGCCCTGGCGGTGAACGTCATCATGAAGTGCAACCACAGCGCGATGATCACAAATGCACAAAACTCCCGTTCATTTAGAAGCTGTGTTTCTCCTCCTCCAAGAAGATGAACAGTGCGTGGAGCAACGAGAACACCGAAAACACGTTAGCTTTGAAAGAGTGGAAGCTTATTTTTTGAGAAAAGAAAGGATTTTCCTTTTTCTGGGTAGTTAATGTTATGATTCGTAATTATAATTTCTTATTGTGTTAGTTGGAAGTGCAAAAAGGAACGAGAGTATAAATTTGTTGAACTATTTGAGATTTTGCCAAGACGGTCCTCCAACATTATATGTTGGACGATGGAATGGTTGATGTAGCATGGATGTATTCGAGCAGTTCGAATGGTCGGATGGTATAGATTTTGTTTGGTTGTTGACTTTCCGATTAAAACTCAAGCACCGCTTGTCGTGACCGGCTTAAGATTTCCAGCGTCGACCACGGCTACACAAATTAGCGATGCAGCTCCCACGGCTGCGGCTGATTCCAATGCTGCTGCTGCTGCTGTTCCTTCTGCTGGTCCGTCTCCTTTAAAATTCGTCGAAAAAGACGGACCAGCAGCAGCATTGGAAGCAGCAGCAGCCGTGGGAGCTGCATAGCTAGTTCGTGTAGCCATGGCCGGAAACCTCGGTTAGGTCAAGATACCGCTGCCAGCTGTTCTTCGTATGAGAGGAAATGTGGATGCGACTGCCGTCACGGGTGTAACGATTTTGAGAATCCATGGCGAGACTTGGTGGAGATTCACGGTTGTTTTGAAAATAATTTGACTAGGAGTGGCAACGTCAATAACAAATTTTGACACATGCACACTGCCCTGGCGCAGAAAAAGTTCAGTGTTGCCAGTAACTTTGAAGATCATAAAAATTGTAACCATGGGTGCCAAACAACGTCAATGACTGCACCCCGATGTGCCCCAGTTTGATTTTGGCACACTGTGTAGAGTGACCAACCCCTTGCTACAGGTAGAAGTGGACTGCGACGATGTCGGAAGTATCAATTTGTATTCCTGTGTTTTGTCTGTTCACCACTTTATATACACTCACTGCACTCGGTGGTGTAGTGGTAAGCGTGATAATCTCTCACCCCAGCAAGCCTGGGTTCAATCCCAGTCGGCGCCGCCGGGATGTTCTGAGGCATAACAGCTCTGATCACGTAGGGGTAGGTAGGCTCCAGGTGGTGGGAGCTGCCTCCCTGGCATCGGTAGCATTGGTGTTCAGCACGAAAAACAAGATCGACGGAAAACAAATCAAGGAAAAACGATACGGACACGACACGAACGGGAAGCTTGACGTAGGACTGCTAGTAGACGGAACAAATATGTTGATCATTTAGTTCTTAACTATTTCGGTTTTTTAATTGGTGGCCCTGAAAAGGACCGGTTGTTTTTCAAATGGTGGCCACATCAGTGAAACTCGATGCTGACTGGATGACGGTGGCCTAGTCATGCTGCGCTGCTTATTGCGGGAAGCCTTTCCTCCGGTCGATGTGGGTGCTTTCGTCGTCGTCGTCCGTCGTCTTCGCATTGGAAGAAAACGATTTGGCAAGCGTTTTTATTATCACTGCTTTTCTTCCTTTAATTGGTGAGAACGAGCATGGAGCTCGCTCATGTGAGCATGCGCAATGTGTCGTTTGTTCGATTTGCGCTCTATCGTAGCGTCCGTGTTTGGGATTTTTCGTTACATATCTGATTTTTTTTAATTTAATGTGACTCCCAGTGAGTATAGAAATTTATTTATTTTTATTTATTTATTTATTTATTCGTCAATCAATCAAATCGTAGACTACATATTAACATTAGGACTTATGTTCTATGACTTTGCAGGGTTCTGAAAATATTTTTAATTCTGTTGAGGGCATATTTAGGTCAATCATTTCACAATGATGATTATAAAAAGTCATCATCTGATTTACCGGTCCAAATTTAGCGTAATTGATCCGATGGCGATCTACTGCGAACAACTGTCGATTGCGTAATTGTCGGGAAGGTGCATACAAATTTAACCTTGACAATAGATCAGCTGAGTCAATGCGTTGCGAAATGATATTGTTTAATGAAGAAATCTTTGCGTAATCCCGACGTTCCACAGTGGCGGGCCTCCATACAAAGGTCGGACAAAACCTCATATGTTATCCGAAATGGCTAAAACTCACAGGTTAAGATGATTTTGGTATCCTGAATGTATTTCTGATATGAAACTTTTCATATATTTTGGTTTTATTTTATTAGGGTGGTTCTAAATTATGAAAATCAGCTCATTTTGGGTTAAGTAAAAACTAATCAATAATAAGCTATCACGATGTGTTAGTTGAATGGAGATTTTGATTAAAAGGGTTATTAGGGGGTTCTGAAATCATGATTGATATTGAAATTAACTTTACTTGTGTATTTTTTGCTCTTAGGGTGGTCCAAAAGCTATGAAATCATATAAATTATTAAAAAAGTTCGATAACCTACGTTTTTCATTCAATGGATCAATTCAGCTACACACACATGTTAGTTGACAAAACTGATTGGTATTCTTAAAGACCGTCCATAAACCACGTGACGTTTTTAAGGTGCGAACTCAGAGCTAAGTTAATGCTGAAGTTGATGTTATATAAGGATTCATTTCTTTTACGATTTACAATGGGATCAGATAGTCTCAAAATGTGAACTACGTAAAATGTGAACTGTCCCTTACCAATATCATTTCAACGCTTTCATACATGCTCCTCTGAGTGTGGGCTATAATATACATTGATCTTTTTTTCTCACTTGTCGAAGAGATACCATACGGCGCGCTGCAGCGAACAAAAGAATGATGATACCTCATCTCATTTTACTTGTCGAAAGTGAAACA